GTGAATGATTTTAGAGAAGAGTTGGGGGCATAATTAAGGATGAAGGATCTATTTGGTGAAAATAAATGCCAGTAATGTAGAACGGAATCAAAGTGTTACCATAAGGGCCAAAGAAAAACATTTTTTAATTTAATTTTTTAAATTTAATTTAATTTAATTTAATTTTTGCTTTGTGATTTTATATTTTATTTAATTTTGGTCTGTCAATAGTACTGTGGAAATCATAATGGGTCTCTGAATAAAACGTTTTATTTTCATTTTTATATTTTCCCCTGTCACTGTCACTGTCCTCCCGTTGTTCATCGATTTTCTCGAGTGGGTCCAGTAACATCTCCATTGTGAGACTTTGTTGTTATTGTGTTTGGGATATCGAATACGTCACAGGTAGCTTGCTAGGCTTTGCCATGCGGGCGAGATATTGACCCCATGAACTGATTAATCTTTATCAAATATGTTTTAGTGTAAAAAATTAACCGTGATGATGGTAAAGAAATATACCAAATGTATGCTGATACTTTTAATTCTGTTCTCTATTCTTACAATAATTTCCCAGAGAATTATTATTTTTTTTGTCAATGAGGAAACCAAGTGTCACAGTGTCAAAAGTTACAAATAGAATAGCTATTTGCCTAGCAAATGATGGAATAATTTCAACCCCTAGTCTGACTGTAATTCTGTGTCCTGTATCTTGGCACCAGGTATTGAGCTGCTGCCAATGAGCTGCAGCCTCCTCCAGGTCCCATCACTCCTCAACCTTTGTTCCCCTTCTTTTCACAGCTGCCTTCTGATGGTCATTTCCACCAAGGAGAAGGGATGTATTGTATGTTCACAGTTCAGAACTTTACCCTTTGCTGATTCAAGAGGTGATGACCTCTTCTTCCTGGCACTGAAGATGATATTCATATATGACTGGAGACAGAGAGATTGTATAGCAGGTAGGGTGCTTGCCTTGGGCACATCCACCTGAGTTCCCTCTCCAGCACCATATAAGGGTCCCAAGCCCCACCAGGCGTGATCCCTGAGTGTAGAGCCAGGAATATGCCCTGAGCATTGCCAAGTGAGGCCCCAAATCAGAAATTGAAAAAAAAAATTAACAGAGGAATGACAGGAAGACCCTCCATATGCATTTTAGGTCAAATTGAACATTCAAAATGGAGCAGTAATCAGATAAAGACGGGACCACCAAGTAAAGGGTGCTAGGAAGGCCTGCTTGGGATGGGAGATTTGAGCTGAAAGTACATGATCGCCACTTAATACCTCTGTTGCAAATGACAACACCCAAAAGGAGAGAGAGTACAAAAGGGAATACTCTGCCACAGAGGCGGGATAGGGTGCAGGGGACAGTTGGTGGTAGTGGGAGGGATGTTGGGACCATTGGTGGTGGAAAATGGGCACTGGTGGAGGGATGGGTACTCGATCATTGTATTACTGAAATGCAAGCACGAAAGTTTGTAAGTCTGTAACTGTACCTCACGGTGGTTCATTAATAAAAAAAAATATATATAAAATGGAGCAGTAGTATAGGAACAGGGAGACGGTTTTTTTTTTTACGAATTATACCAGGAATCACCAGCTAAACTGTCATGAGTTTTAAATGTTTTTGGTCACTGAAGACTAAATGACAAATATCTTAAAATGAATGGAATTTCCCTTTTGTTTCTTTCATACATTTTAAAATCCTCAAAACCTGTAAAATTTGAATTCTACCTTAACTTGGGCTGATGTAACTCCTTCCTGCAGGAATTGTTTGCCAATGTATGTGGTTAAAGAAGGAAGTAGAAGTGTTATTAAAAGTGACATCAAGTGTATAAATTTTGTGTAAAGAGAAGAATTTGTGGTGTGTAAACTCAGTGGTTTAGAGCAGGGTTTCTTAAATTTTTTCTTAAATTCTTTTTTGCCACGAAATTTTTACTCATCTCTGAGTACATTAATCAAATGTTTCACTGATTAATAAAGCATAAGGTAAGGTAAGGTAAGGTAAAGGCCCTCCCGTTGATCGTCGATTTGCTCGAGCGGGCCCAGTAACGTCTCCATTGGAGACTTTGTTGTTACTGTGTTTGGCATATCGAATACGTCACGGGGAGCTTATTTTAAGATAATTAAAAAAATTTGCTGCTCTCATATTCAGTTATACCCATGTTTCTTAGCATTTTTCCCTGACTATAGCCTCCTTCTACTCTTACTTCTTTCTGGTGGTTTCCCTGCCCTCTCAGTGTAGCCCAAATCATGTACCCTGGCCCTGCATTTACATGATTTTCATGTGTGTCTCTCTTGTCATATCTGGGTGCCCACAGGGGCCATACAGCTTCTGTTGGAAAGTGTCAAGTTACAGAACCACATACAGTTTAAGAAGCAGGGACTTAGATTGATGGATATTAATCTCTGGTGCTGTCTGATGCAACATTGAGCCTCGTAGCTCTGCTGTCTGTAAGCCCCACCTGTACCAGTCAGGTATGTGTGGACACCAGAATTTAAGGTGTGTGATTGCCAGGTGAGCACCACTGCCACGAAGTGCGATCCCTGGTGAGCACCACAACTAAAGTGTGTGACTCCTAGTGAACACTACAGGCAGAATGTGCATTAACACCACAGTGAAAGGAGAGTTGCTAATGCCCCACCAAACATCCTAAGTGCATTGTACCCGGGCTAGAGGTGTGTTTGTGGGGGAGTGGAGTATGTGTTTGATTGCAACAATAGTAAAGGGAAGGGAAAAGTACAACAAGGAGAGGATTTATATTACTACAAGAAAGAAGCCTGAGCGATAATGCAGGGGTTAAGGTATTTGCTTTGTATGCAGCTGATTCATTTCTGTCACAGCGTATGGTGTCTTGAGCAATCCTTGCATCCCTCTTGGGAACAGAGCCAGGAATGACCCCTGAGCACCATTCCTGCCTCTGTGCCCCAGTGGGTGTGCCCGTCCCAACCCCCAGGAAACAGCTATAGAAAGAGTATCTGAAGTGTTTTGTGGCATTACTTGTGAATTTAATGAAAATTGTTATTTCACTGAATATTATTAAAAATACAAAATTTAAAATGTCTTATATAATCTAAAATACTATATTAGTAAATTATTCAGTTTTGTTCCTTAGATAAATTTCTAAAGTTTCTTGTAATTGCATTTGTGAGGCTGATTTAGTCTGTGTCTAGGTTTGCCAATTAGAGAAATTCTATGTTAAATAATTTTGAAATTGGAACTTGAGGTACTTTCTTATTATATAAATTAGAAGATTCATGCATCTTACTGTATTTGAATTTTAAAAATTCCACTTGAGGGGCCGGAGAGATAGTACAGTGGGCAGAGTGCTTGTGTTAAACGTGCTGACCTGGGTTGTTTAGATTTTCCCTATTGCTAGTTTTTTTTTTTTTTTTTTTGAATCACTGAGATACACAGTCACAAAATTGTTCATGATAGGGTTTCAGTCATACCATGTTTCAGCACCTATCCTTTAACTGGTGTACATTTCCCACCAGCAGTATCCCCAGTTTCCCTCACCCCCCCCCCCCCCCTCCTTCCCGTCTGCCTTTATGGCCCAGACTATCTCCTTCCCTTCCTGGGCATTATGGTTTGCAATACAGGAGGTACTGAAAAGTTACGTGTATATCCCTTTACCTCCTTTCCCATTCAGTTCTTGTCCAGAGATCACTTTCAACTATCATTGCCATAGTGGGCCCTTCTCTATCATATCTGCCCTGTCCTATTACCCCCACACGTGGCAAGCTTCCAACAGTGAACTAGTCCTCCGTTTGTATTGTCCTTGGGTTTTAGTCTCATACTTTGGTTATTTAGATCCCGCAAATGGGTGCAGTTGATCTTTGTCCCTCTTCTTCTGACTCATTTCACCTAGCATGATACTCTCATCCAGTTATGAGCAAATTGCATGATTTCATTTTTTCTGGTGACTGTGAAGTATTTTCCATTGTGTAGCTGGACCATAGTTTCTTTATCCAGTTGTCTGTTCTCGGGCACTCCAGTTGTTTCCAGATTCTTGCTATTGTCAACAGTGCTGCGGTGAACATAGAAGTACAGATACTGTATTTTTTTTTTTTTTACCCCTGGGGTATATTCCCAGAAGTGGTATTGCTGGGTCAAATGAAAGTTCAATTTCTAGCTATTTGAGAAGTGCCCATATTGTTTTCCAAAAGGGCTGAACTAGTTGGAATTCCCACCAGCAATGAATGAGAGTCCCTTTTTCCCCACGTCCACACCAGCACTGGTTGTTCTTGTCTTTTTGATGTGCGCCAGTCTCTGTGGTGTGCAATGATATCTCATTGTTGTTTTAATTTGCATATCCATGATGTTTAGTAATGTAGAGCATTTTTCATGTGCCTTTTGGCCATTTTTATTTCTTCTTTGAGGAAGTTTCTGTTTGTTTCTTCTCCCCATATGTTGATAAGGGTTGTATGTCTTTTTCTTATAAAGTTCTATCAGTGCCTCACATATCTCAGATATTAACTTATCAGATGGGTATTGGGTAAATAATTTTTCTCATTCTGTGGGCTAGCTTTGTATCTTGGTCACTGTTTCTTTTGAGGTGCAGAAGCTTCCTAGTTTAATGTAGCCCCATTTGTTTATGTTTGTTTCTACTTGCATGGTCAGTGGTGCTTCTTCTTTGAAGATACCTTTAGCTTAAGTGTCATGGAGGGATTTGCCCTATGTTTTTCTCCTTGTACCTTATGGATTCATGTCTGATGTTGAGTCTTTTATCTATTTTGATTTGACTTTTGTGCATGGTATTAAAAAGAGGTCTGAGGGTTTTTTTTTTTTTTTTTTTGCATGTAGCTGCCCAGTTTTCCCATCATCACTTGTTGAAGAGACTTCCCTTCCCCTTCAATTTTGTCCGTGGTTTGATAGCTGGCATCCCATATGGTCTACTGAGCGCTGCCAGGTGTGCAGAACCAGGAGTGATCTTTGAGCATTGTGGTTCTCCAAAAAACAACAAAGCTCAGCTTGAATTTGAAGCTTGAAAATCCTAACAAATTTGTTCTTTCATTTTTATTAGGTTTCAGACAAACCCAACAGGCTAACTGAAAAGGAACTTGCTGAGGCTGCTAGCAAGTGGGCTACTGAAAAGCTTGATAAGGCAGATGAGGGTAACCTACCTGACATTTCTGAGTATGAGGTAAGTCAGTGTTTGTCTCTTATGCCTCACAGCTGAGAGCTTTGTTTTGATTTTGAATTATGAGTGTAAGCTATGTTGTTTCTAGTCCTTTAAACTGTATTTGAGGAAACTGTCCTTGTGGATTATAAAAATAAATATACCACACTCTTAATAGTGTGTTATGAATAACAAATTCAGTTATTATTGTGTGTCAGTGAGTTTAATCGCTGAGAATAGGGGACTGAAATGTTTGTGTAGGGGTTAACATGTTGTAAGGTGGTCCTTAGGCTTCCCTGGAATAATTCCTAAGCCAGGAGCTTTCCAAACCCATTCCCACAGAAAGTGTCAGTATCATTTACTTGGGAATGAGGGAAAAGCAATATTCATGTGCTGTTTTTATGAGCTTGTTAAAAAATATCCTAAAAATAAAATTAAGCCACTAGTATAAACCAGTGTATTCATAACAGAAACTTAATTAGATCATGTTATTTTATTTCGGTTTTGGACCATATCCATCAGTGCTTAGGGCGTACTCCTGTCTCTGCTCAATGACCAGTATGCCTCAGGGGATCACAGATAGTGCTGGGTATTGAACCTGGACTGGCCATGTGTAGGACAGGTGTACTGCCTGTTGTATGCCTTGCCCATTGTACTATCTCCCTGCCTCCCAGATAATGTATTTTAGCTATATTTATATTACATGTTATACCCTGCAGATTATCTTATATATATCCCCAAAATTGAAATTACGTTTTTTGGATTATTTGTAATCTTTTACTGCTTTTACTGGTTTTGAGTATCAAAAGATTTTGAGCTGGAGTGATAGTAGAGCAGGTAGGGTGTTTCCCTTGTACACGGCCAACCTTGCACAAGGTTCAATCGTTGGCTTCCCATTTGGTCCCCAAACAACGCTAGGAGTAATTCCTGAGTGCAGAACCAAAAGTAACCCCTGAGCAGACAGTGCCAACTTTATCAATACTTATACAGATCTTATGGAGCGATAGCACAGCGGGTAGGACGTTCGCCTTACAAGCGGCCAACATGGCCGACCCGAGTTCGATTCCTCCGCCCCTCTCGGAGAGCCCGGCAAGCTACCGAGAGTATTCGATATGCCAGACACAGTAACAACAAAGTCTCCAATGGAGACGTTACTGGGCCCGCTCGAGCAAATCGACGATCAACGGGAGGGCCTTTACCTTTTACCTTTATACAGATCTTATATTTTTTACAATACTGCTCTGTCGTTTAGATGTCAACTGTTAACTCAGAATTTTCTTACTGTAATTTTATGTATAATTTTGAACATAATATAAAAATACCAAGCTATCAAAAACATCTGGAATCTTTCTAGCACAATTTTAAAGAATGAGCTTTTAAATGAACTTAATAGGATAATTTTATTTTCTTTAATAATTTGGAATAATGGATTTTATGTAACATTAAAGTGCTTTCCAATTTCTACTTTGGAGAACTAATGATTTTTAAAAAATTTTTTTATATTATTAGCTTTATTTATTTATTTATTTTTAAAAAAACTTTATTAGTGAGACACCATGAGGTACAGTTGTAGACTTACAAATTTTTGTGCTTGGGTTTCAGTTATACAAATACCCATCCCCTCCACCAGTGCCCATTTCCCACCACCACGGATCCCTTATCCCTCCCACCCCCCAAACCCCCAAACCACCCTGCCTCTGTTCTCTCTCTCCTATTGGGTGTTGTGGTTTGCAAAAGAGGCAATGGGTGGCAATCATGTTTAGTCTATAGTCTACTTTCAGCATGCTTCTCCCATCCCGGGAGGATCCTCCCAACACCTGTTATTTGGTGCTACCTTCTCTATCTGAGCTCCCTTTTCCCCTGACATATGTGGTTGGCCTCCAAGCCATGGAGTAAAATTCCTGGTACTAATCTCGGCCATTCTTGGGTGTTAGTCTTCTATTTTGTTACTTTATGTTCCCCAGATGAATGCAATCTTTCTATGTCTATCCCTTTCTTTGAGTCATTTCGCTTAACATGATACTTTCCATGTAGTACCACTTGTATGTAAATTTCATGACTTCATCTTTTCTAACAGCTGCATAGTACTCCATTGTATGAATGTACCAAAGTTTCTTTAACCAGTCATCTTTTCTTGGGCACTGAGGTATTTTCCAGATTCTGGCTATTGTAAAGAATGCTGCGGTGAACAAACAAGTACAGATGCCACTTCGACTATACTTTTTTGCCTCTCCTGGGTATATTCCCAGTAGTGGTATTGCTGGGTCAAATGGGAGCTCAATTTCTAATTTTTTGAGAATCGTCCATATTGTTTTCCAAAAGGGTTGAACCATTCGGCATTCCCATCTCGCCACATCTGCGCCAACATCTGTTGCTTTTGTTCGTTTGGATGTGGACAATTCTCTGTGTTGTGAAATAATATCTCGTTGTTTTGATCTGCATCTCCCTGATGATTAATGATGTGGAGCATTTTCTCATGTCTTTTTAGCCATTCGGATTTCTTCTTTGAGAAAGTTTTTGTTCATTTCATCGCCCCATTTTTTGATGGGGTTGGATGTTTTGTTCTTGTGGAGTTCAACCAGTACTTTGTATATCCTTGATATTAACCCATTATCGGATGTGTATTTGGTGAATATCCTTTCCCATTCTGTAGACTGTCTTTGTATTTTGGTCACTGTTTCTTTGGAGGTGCAGAAGCTTCAGAGTTTAAGATAGTCCCATTTGTCTATCTCTGTTTTCACTTGCTCAGCCAGTGCCGTGACATCTTTGAAGATACCATTAGCTTCCGTGTCATGGAGGGTTTTGCCAACTTTGTCTTCAATGTACCTTATGGATTCCGGTCTGATGTTGAGGTCTTTAATCCACTTTGATCTTACTTTTGTACATGGCATTATGCAGATATCTGAGCCCACTTTTTTGCATGTAGCCATTAAGTTTTGCCAGCACAATTTGTTAAAGAGGCTTTCCTTGCTCCACTTCACTTTTCTTGCCCCCCTTATCAAAGAATAGATGATCGTATGCTTGGAGGAAGATGTCAGTATATTCAACCCTGTTCCATTGGTCTACAGCTCTGCTTTTGTTCCAATACCATGCTGTTTTAATTATTACTGCTTTGTAGTAGAGTTTGAAGTTAGGGAGGTTGATTCCTCCCATTTTCTTTTTCCCAAGAATTGCTTTAGCTATTTGTGGGGGCTTTTTTATCCATATAAATTTCAGGAGTGTTTGCTCCATTTCTTTGAAGAATGTCATGTGTATCCTAATAGGGATCGCATTGAATTTGTACAGTGCTTTGGGAAGTATTGCTATTTTGAAAATGTTATTTCTCCCCATTCGTGAACAGGGGATATTTTCCCATTTCCTTGTGTCCTCTTTTTTTTTTTTCGTGAAGCAGCGTTTTGTAGTTTTCTCTATACAGGTCCTTTACTTCCTTAGTTAAGCTGATTCCTAGGTACTTGATTTTCTGGGGCACAATTGTGAACGGGATTGTTTTCTTCATGTCACTTTCTTCTCTTTCAGTATTTGCATATAGGAAAGCCATAGACTTACTGATTTTATAGCCTGCAACTTTACTATACAAGTCTATTGTTTCTAGGAGTTTCTTGGTAGAGGTTTTAGGGTTCTGTAAGTATAGTATCATATCATCTGTGAATAGTGAGAGCTTGATTTCTTCCTTTCCTACCTGGATGCCCTTAATATCTTTTTCTTGCCCAATCGCTATTGCAAGTACTTCCAGTACTATATTGAACAGCAGTGGAGAGAGTGGACATCCTTGTCTCGTCCCTGATCTTAGAGGGAAAGCTCTCAGTTTTCCCCCATTGAGGATGATGCTTGCTGTAGGCTTGTGGTAGATGGCTTTAACTATATTGAGGAAAATCCCCTCTATCCCCATTTTGGCGAGGGTTTTCATCGTAAATGGGTGCTGGATCTTGTCAAATGCTTTCTCTGCATCTATTGATATGATCATATGATTCTTATCTTTTGTTTTGTTGATATGATGGATTTTGTTGATTGATTTCCAAGTGTTAAACCACCCTTGTATCCCCAGGATGAATCCTACTTCGTCATGGTGTATGATCTTTTTGATGAGTAGTTGAATTCTCTTTCCTAGTGTTTTGTTGAGAATCTTCGCATCTGTGTTTATCAGGGATATCGGCCTGTAGTTTTCTTTTCTTGAGGTATCTTTGTTTCTTTTTGGTATCAGAGAGATATGGGCTTCATAGAAACTGTTTGGGAGAGTTTCTGTTTTTTTAATTTCCTGGAAAAGCTTGAGAAGGATGGGCAGTAGGTCCTCTTTAAATATTTGGAAAAATTCGTTAGTGAATCCATCTAGAACTGGGCTTTTGTTTTTGGGAAGACTTTTGATTACTGTTTCAATTTCCTTGATGTTAATTCAGATACTCTAGATCGTCTTGATTCAGCTTTGGGAGATTACAGGAGTCCAGGAATTTGTCCATTTCTTCTAGGATCTCTTGTTTCGTGGCATACAGACTTTCAAAGTAGTGTCTGATGATCTTTTGTATTTCTTTGGTTTCTGTTGTGATATTCCCCTTCTCATTTCTGATTCTGTTTATTCGGGTTCTCTCTCTCTGTTTCTTTGTGAGTGTTGCTAGTGGTTTATCTATCTTGTTTATTTTCTCCAAGAACCAGCTCTTGGTTTCATTGATCTTTCGAATTGCATCTTTGGTTTCCATGTCATTGATTTCTGCTCTAAGTTTTATGATCTCTTTCCTTCTGCATGATTTAGGCTCTTTCTGTTGAACTTTTCTAAGATCTTGAGCTGTGAGGTCAAGTTGTTTATGTGCATCCTTTCTTCTGTCCTAAGATATGCTTGCAGAGCTATAAATTTCCCCCTTAATACGGCTTTTGCTGCATCCCATAGGTGCTGGTATCTTGTGTCTTCATTCTCATTTGTTTCCAGGTATCTTTTGATTTCGTCCTTGACTTCTTTCCTGACCCATTCGTTGTTTAGCATTGAGTTGTTTAATTTCCAGGTGTTTGATTTGGTTTTCCATGTCTGTGTGTGA